CAAAGTCCGTAATCCAGACGTCCATCATCTGGAATGATCTATAATCCGGACCTCAAAGGCATGAACTTTTTCTTTTTGTATGCTTTACACATGCGCGTTTAATGTATAACAGACCGTATAAGCTAGGCTAAAATTACCTTTACTGATTCTAAGGCATTTCAGTTAATGTTGCAGATTACGCTGTTCCTTAATCTTCTAATTTGATCCGGCTTATTATTTTTTGCATACTGTTAGAGCAATTCATAAAAATTAAGCTTGAACTTTCAATTATGTCAAAAAGAGTTTCCAATTCTGGAGCTGCCAAAGGATCTACAAAGTGAAAGCATGTTTCGATGTCTATCAAGTTAGTTAGTATTCTCGACACAGCAATTATAGGACTTGAACAGTGGAACTTTGTAACTGAACAAGAAATTATGTCTGTTTATAGAATTAAAGAGAAAGTATTAGCACAAAAGAATGAAGCAACTTAAACAACTTACACTGAAAGAAATGTTTAATAAAAGTAAACAAGTTTAAGTAAACAAATAAATATTACGCTTTTTGTAAATTTTGATACCCTTTAGATCATAATTACTCTTTATTTCATAAATTAGGGCTTCATATTTTTAATTGTATAATTTCTGCATGCCATCTTAATATATTTAAATTGATGATCTATAATCCAGAAAAAAACCCTAATCCGGAATCGCTGAAGTCTCAACGAGTCTGGATTACTGTATTCAGATTTGTACTGTATTCAGTTTCTGGATGGGGGGGGGGAATTGTGAAACGTAAATCACTAGCAATACTGAGTTTGCTTCAATACTTTGTCTTTAATGCTACAACTGCTGAAAATTCTTTTGTGCAAATAAGTGCTTGCAAATGGTAAGTACATTTGTAGTGATAGCTCTGCTATTCTGGGATAAACTTCAAGCTATTTCACCCAAAATAATGGCTAATCCATTGTTTAAATACTTTTATTACACAAATTAGGGAAGTAACATTTGAATTCACCAGTGAGGTGCTACAAATGATTTGATATTATTCTTGATGTGCCCTCCTTCCAGGATCCCAAATAATTTGGGAAAACAAGATTAATTTCAGGCTAAAATTTTAGGTACCCAGAATTCCAACTTATCACAGGGTTGCCACTCAAAGATGAGAACAAAATTCCAATCTGTCCACATAGTGCACGTTGGTTGTGCTGAGAGGTAAATTAATAATGGTACCATTTGAAAACACAAAAATTTGCCAATTACACATGACTTATATATAATCCCCAAAGCATTACTATTATAAACTATTATAACAATAATAGGAGTTATTTCTCCACTAAAGATTGAGATTAGAATCTGCCCAATCTGGATTAAAAAATGTATTTTTTTGGAGACACTTTGTGGCTTAAAGAAAGAAATCTATTTAATGAAATTTTAAAATAAATTCAGGTATTTTATATTTAGCAGTATACATAAGCAAAAGATATGTGCATTAAATTTTGTGATAGCATGTCATCATACTGCTAGAATTAGTTTCAGGATTATGACAGAGAAAATTGCCTGAAATTTTAAAGTATTATTAACTAATAATAAATAAATTTAGAGGGAAGAAGCCACATTAAACCCTTAACTGCTGCAGGCCTTGCTCAGCCGATATATGCCTTACTTGGTCAATGCGTTAACTGCCCCGGGTGTGTATGTATATATATATATTAAAAATGTTATCATTTGCTTTGTGCGGATACCAGTAAAATTATTCACAAAGCTTTGGAATGTAACACCACAATGACCTTGACAAAGAATAAAGAAGGATACTATTTCAGAGAAGATGGGGGGAAGGAGATTGGAGGCGGGATGTTTCTGAAACGGTGAAAATAACAACTGCACAATTATTGGTCGTCTTTCTCTTTTTATTCTGCCTCTTCCTTTTTAATTTATTTCATTACTAGTTTGTAGTAGGTGCTTGTTTTTAGGAATATGGCTGACAGTGAAGACTAATGACTGTGCAGTTACTGCTCATGTTTCTGTTTGAGTAAAACATATTTTTTTATTCTGTGTCTTTCATTTTCGTTTACTTTGTTACTACAGTTTAAAGTAGGCGCTTTTTTTAGGAATATGTCTGACAGTGATGACTAATGACTGCACACTTATTGCTCATGTTTCTGTTTGAGTAAAAAGTACTTTTTTTACGAATATGTATGACAATGAAATAGAGGATTACTTTCCATCATCTTCACAATCGAACACCTCAGAATACGATATTACATCACATGAAGAGGATTGCAACTATTCCCCAAAGATGATCGACGCTGGGTATGACTTAATATGAAAAACTTGCTTATGCTGCCTCCACACTTTCTATTTAGGTGTACTGATTTTACAAGATACAACATTGAAACCTGATACTACACTTTACTTGTCTAAAAATAAATTGATCGAAACTCCATTTTGGGGGATTTTCTTATATTTACATCTTTTTTATTATACTTTTACTTTAAACATTAAATTTTGTATTTTAATTTTTCTTTTATTCTTTATTTTGTGAAAGTAAACAGTTTTTAGACAGCAAACCATGCACTTATTTTCTCCCTAATACATCGCACAACTACGCGTTCATGTGTAAAAACGGATGGCACTGGGGAGTGAATCTTGTACATTTTTCGCAGCAGTTAAGGGGTTAAATGATATGAATAACATTAAAATAAAGTTACTTACTTAAAGTACTTACAAATACTGAGTTGAATGAAATATATTACTACACGATTTAACTACTACATATGACACTGGCTTCCAAAAATCCAGCGCAAAATGCAAATTAACAATTTTTGAAAAGTGAATGTTTGAAAAATCACTGTGGATGCAGATAGTAATAAGCAAATACTTAATGTTACAGCCAATCACAACTGACTGTTTGAACACATGCGAATTTGGCAGTCATTGAAGATATTAGCATTCTAAAGGATTTTAGGAGGTATATTTTTTGATGATCTTTGAGTTTTCATGGCTTAAACAAAACAAAGGGCAGATAGTAAGGGCTACTGAGCAATCAGATGCATCAAAGCCCGAGAGTCAAAGAAACATGTCACTCCTTTAATTGGCTTTGATCATTCAACTATTTCTTGAATATGGAAACAATTCCAAACATGTCAAATAGTTGTCCAGACATCTGTGCCAGTCAATGAAGGGTTACCAAATAGAATTGACAAGTGACCTTCACAGCTGTTACACTAAGGAATATGTAACGTCATTTGTTACACTTGTCACAATATCTGACAGCATTATGCACTGAAGACTACATGAAAGAACTGCACACTTCAGTACCAAGGTTCTGTGCTGCACTAAAGTATTGTCAACATCTCTGCTCGAATGCCTCAGATTGGTGCACCATCCTGTTCACAGGTAAGTCCAGCTTCGACATGGAATTAGATAATATGAATTTAAGTGTCTGGACAGAACAAGACGTACAGAATCAAGCTCAGAACAACTCGCATACAGAGGTGGCAGCACAGTGTGGGCTGGAATTTCAGTGGGATATCACTACACATCTATGACTGCAAGGCACCAGCACCAGGATGAAATTCTATAACCCACCCTAAAACAATGTTGCAGCAATTGGTTCTCATTTCTTCCTTTATAGATGATAATGCCATTCCCATTGAATCAACAAGTAAAGCAAGGGCATTTCTTGTATGGAGGGGCTACAGTACTCTCCTGGAACCATTACCATTAAATTTACACCATTGGAAATATTTCGGGTTCCCTTGGGAGTGCTGTTTACCTCCTCCAGCCAGTCTCTAATAAGTGGCAACTGGCCTAATTAAGGAATGGCCATTACTAGCATCTGCAATGGTTGATCCTCTCACTGAAGGCATAGGCAATTGCAGCAAAGTTTGTGTGAAGGTCTGGGGTGGTTTACATACCTTTTACGTTTTATTTGTTTCTAGCTCTAAACATTAAGATGTTAATAACCTAAATATGACATCATTATATAATTCACAGAAATTAAATATTCATCTTAACATAATGTTCATAATGTTTGTTTTCTTTTATAACACACATGCATATATACATCTGCCACCTTCACATGCAATTTGGCATTAATCAAAACTTTGCTTTTCCACTGTTGTTTATTTTACCATCACAAACTTTTGGAAAACGGCATATATTCAAATTTAAGTAAATATATATACAATCAATTTTTCTTTTGTTTATTGATTTACAATATTTCTTTTATTTATTTATTTTTTTTGCTTCTTTTGTAATGCAGTGCAACCACATCTACCATAACCAGCCATGTGAATAAAAGAAAAATTTACTGCCTTATAAAATTATCGGATTAGAGAACACTATGCACATGCATATTCCACATGCTGTATGTTCCTGCACATATATGTCTACACCTGCATATTTCTACAGTTATATATTATGCTTAGTATATGGAAATGACAGGAGAAAATATATTGAGGGAAGGTTTTTTTTTATTTCAATTAGAAGAAGAAATATGCACCTGGTTATGAAATACTTGTGAAAAATAAGAATGAAAACCAAATTTGGAGGAACACCAACTAATTATACTATAACTTCTTGCATATATAAAACATATCAGGTTAGATATTGTAAAGTTAACAGACTCAAAAGTGTTTTAAATATGGTAAATATGTTTGCAAAAAATGTAAATGATTTTATACCTGTAAAAAATGCAGTAAGCAATGTAGTATAATTTTTAATTATAATGATTATTGAGTTTTTATTTCTACTAGAAAGGAGAAAATAAATATTCATTAAATTATTATTTCAAAGTTACTATTATTACAAAGAAGTATTAAATGATACTTCCTTTCTAGAATCAATATTACCTACATTCAATCAAAAAAATTAAAATTTTTATCTAAAAACCAGTCTTTAGCCAGTTACAATATTAAAAGATATCAGTATATATTTTTTTTATTTGCAATGGTGATCAATTCAGATTTTTTTTTTTTTTTTTTAAATTTTGTATTGAGAAATAATACATTTGAAAATTACCTCTCTGACTACTTCAGCTGGGATTGTTGCTCCACACACAACGTATTTACCCCGTCCTTGAATCCTAAAATTATTAGAAATATATCATATATACCTCAGAAATGTCCCATTTCAATATATGCCCTAAACTATTTTTGAACTTATGAGGAAGCAGAAATAGTTAAATTACAAAACAAAATGCTACATACCAGTTGATAGCTGCTGGTTTTTTATCAGTACAATAATTTCCACTAAGACTTATAATTTCTACAGAAGGAAAGATTTCACACAGCTTGTTAAGAGCTTTATCTGCCCCCTAAATTGAAATAACCTTTAATTAATTATGACATTTTAAAGGCTATAAATACCAAACAGCAATATATAATAGATTAATCTGCAAAATATAGTACAGAAAGTTTATAACCACAAAATAAAACAACACATGCAAAAACGGGGGTAGGGAAAAATGATATTAAAGGATTAACAAAACTGGTATTGGAATATTTCACTAATTTCAAATTTACTGACAAAACATCTAATTGGCATTGGAAAATTTTATTAATTTCAAATTTACTAACAAAATATCTATGTTCTTCAAACCGAAAATTTTAAACATCTCTTAAGTTTGACTGATATGAGTCAAAGTGGTTAAAGTTTAGCTGATATGGAATATTTAGGCAAAAGTATTTAACATTATCTTTAAGTTATGTGATACAAATTATTCCTTTTCTGTAGAATGGAGCTCAATCTCATAATTCTTCCAAGGTTCCCACTAAAATTCAACTTTTATTTTTCCTCATTTTCTCTAGACAAACAGAACAATTTCCCTGACTTCAAAATGTATTAATTATCAAATTAAGAATAATTTTATGCACTTACTAAAAACAGCAGATATGTACACCACATGACTTCCTTGTACGGAATATTAAATTATACGCATTTTTTCCTGCACTTTATTTAATCTTCATTTCTCGAATTTCGTTAGAGATATATTTCTCATTTAATTCAGTTCTCACTTTTCGGCAAGGCAAAAATACATAAAAACTCAAAATATTTTCATTAAAAATTGAAAGATTTATGTAAAACCCTCCAAGGCCATGCAAATACTGATTTTGGATTATGAAAAATTCGAATTTTTTACAATTAGAACTTACAGTTGTCTAGTCAAAAACAAGCAATTCAGCCAGCAGGCAAGGAAGGCAGATTTTTTCGGTGCACAAAACTAAAAGTTTCCTTTTGGTCCTACTTACCAAAAAGACACAATGTGCAGAAACTGAATTCACTATTCTGCTAAGTTTCAAATGTACACAAAAATGGTCACTATGGTAAACAAAAATTAGGCTTAGCTGCACTTAAACAACTTTTAAATTGTTTATAATTCTACAATTATTGCATGCAGATTAACTAAAGGAATAAAAACCTTAACCGGAAGATAAGAACATCATAATTCAATCATTTTTAAAGCAAAAAATGCACAATTTACTAAGATATAAAAATTAAAAAAACTGAGCTCATAGAGCCAAGTAACAAAGTGGGTATATATTATACTTTTGGTGCGACTAATTGCAACCAAAAAGGGAGGTGCACAACTACATATTATAGCAGTCCTGCATACAAAATTTCAAAGTTCTGAGGCTATTCTTTTTTGGTCATGTGAGATACATACATACGTACAGATGCCATGGAAAAATCTCTTCTGAATCCATTTTAAATCAGTTTTCTAATTCGTTTGGAGAAACATAGTCCTTTATTCTGTCCTTACATATATATGTCACACAGAAACATGGTTAAATTGCATTCAATAGTGGTCAAAATGGATATTTTCATTGAAATATAGTACCAGAATTTTTCGTAATTACAATACTTCCTTTATTTTTGTACAAGGAAGTAAAAACATTCCTTTGGGATTGAAAATAACAACAATTTGTGAATTTATCAAGTGATAATTAAACTACTACATCTCAATTTGTGAAGATGGGCACACCAAAATGGAAGCCATGTGGAGTTGCAGTGTGGAAAAGGTCCAGTAAAAGGCCTTGGCATTAACAAGTAGCTCTCTGCTTTAGATGAGACAATACTGAAATATTTTGTTTTATAGTTATCATTTAAAACATGAGTTTTTATTATTGGAGAGGACTGATCCATAACAGCCCCCACCCCAACTTTTTGGAAAAGTTCCGATTATCCCAACATTTCGAAAATTTTTTACATTTTCACCTTGACTACGTTTTATTTCCTAGATTTTCCAGGTGAGGAGGAAATTTGTCAAAATGTTTTCCAAGACCAATGCTAAAGCATGCTTATTGCTAAACTTTGCTTTTTTAAATCTATTGCCCGATTTCCACTGAACTATATCTGAAGCAAATACTAGATCCGTCAAAGATTAAGCCGCACTGTCACATTTTTCTACTGAATTTCTTCATTAGAAGGTGGCCATATTTATGAGTGACACGTCACACACTTTTTCACAAAGTATCACATTCTAAAGATTAATAACATAAATCATGAAAAGCAGCAAGATATGCATACCTTTGATAACATATTCATTCCCATGGCATCTCCAGTAACAGCATTGAAGCGCAAATAAGCACAACAACCAGCAATTTGTACGTCTATTCTCTGAAGCCTCGCAAATCTGAAAGTTAATTATAAAACATAATATGGAGAGAAATGCAATATTTTTAAAATGTACATTTAAATAAGCACTGGTAAGAAGGGAAAAAAATGAGTTAGATTATTGCCTAGTAATTTAAAGGATTTTAAAATTAAATAATATATAAATTCAAAAACTTACAGATTAAAAGTTAACAATTCAATGAAAGAATCAATCATTATTTTTTTTAAATAAAAGATATTTAAAAAATGCATAAAATTTTTATTTATCTTTTCAAGTTATATGTCTAATACTTAATATATAATTTCAGAATGAATTTGCTAATAGTTTTGCTACAGTTTAAAAACTTGCCAAAAATCACATATCTGAAATGGGATGTTCAGAAAGCAATGCCCAATGGTTTGGTTTATTAGAATACGGCAAAGCACTTGAGGGCTATCTGCCTTAAGGGAGAGATGCCTTCGTGGAGGACTTTTTAAGGGAAACTGGCTCGTATACACGTTACACATCGGGAAAACCACGAAAACACCCACGCAGCCAGCCCGTTCGCGGGATTCGAACCTCCAATGCCCAATGGAAGGGGTGACATTATTCTATCACAAATTCAAGCTATGCAGGGACTTTTGCAGTTAATGAATAAAGAAAAGATTTATGTATGTATGCTTTCCACTAGATTTCCTTAGATACGAGGAATTCCACAAAATTTTCAGAAAAGCAAAGTGACTATAATTCCATTCTGTTAATGTGAAAAATTCCTGCAGTAAAAAACATCACCTCCTTTGAGATGTTAATAATATCTATTTTTGTCAAAGCTAAGTGTTTGCTGCAAAGAAAATTAAATGTAACTTGAACAAAGAATTTTTATTTCAAAGACTAAAAGAATTTTACTAGAAACTGTAACAAAGAATTTTTATTTCAAAGACTTATACATGCATTTCACTTTTCAATGCAAAATTACCAAAATACTGAAAAGCACTTTAATGTTTGAAGAAAATTTTAAAAAGAAATAATACAGAACAGCAAGTTACATTAAATGTTAAAATGTATGATTCAAAATCAGTTTTAATTTTTCCCAGAACATCTGTAAACATGGAATTTCTCCCTGCTCCTTTTAATTTGAGTTACTCAAAGTTTGACAACACAAGCAGGGTAATAGTCCTTACGTTACAACAAAATTTCATCATTAAATTTCATTTTGGATACAGAAAATATATATAAGAACTAGAGTGAGAAATTTAGAAACATTCACATGATATGGGAAATAAATAAAGAAGGTACTCTTCTGCTATCGGGGATCGCATTCAGAAATGTAAGTGTGTATGCATGTGTGTATGGACGTATTTGCAGATATGTGTATATAAGGTACACTTATATAGGTACATATTTATATATATACATGCATAAACAAATAACATCCAGACACACATGCATATATACTTTTCTCACTTCGGTGCTCACATCAGAACAGTATCCTAGATAACAGGGTTCGTACACTTTTCTGCACACGGAAATTAAGGACTTTTAAGGACAATTAATGAAAAAAATTAAGGACCTATGAGCAAATGGGAACTGAACAAATTCAATTAAAAATACTATCTGTGCATGAACTTCACTTTTGTAATACTGTCCAAGAAACAAAAGTAGGCAGCATTACTATTAAACATAACTTAATTAACATAATTATTAATAAGTTATAGAATAAAATAAAACTTTATGAAATTTATCAAGTAGCATTAAATATTTTACACTTATAATAGTTGGACATATTAGAAAGAAGATAAGTGACATTTTATTTACATTTTACTAACAGTTAGATTTATTAAGATTGTTGTTTGACTTCTAAATTAATAGTTAGCTTTATGTTGATTTTTTCTTTTATGTCTCATTTTGCCACATACTTTCTCAGTCTAGAGGTTTAGTAAATAGTAGGTAGATTTTATGCCAAGCAGCATAGGTTAAAATGAGAAGTAAAATCATAATCAGCATGATTTGTAACAAAAGACTGGCTGTTGTCACCACTGCTGCTTGTCTAGAGAGAAACCTGCTGATCAGAACAAAACCTGAAAGGCCTGATGTAGGCACGGCTGGCAGGTTTTGAAAATTAGTTGGGCTCTGCCTGATGCAGTTAGTGTCGTAGCTTCGCATAGAGTTCCAGAGGTTGAAACCCAGTTAATATACATTAAGGTTTCAATAAGCCAATAAAGCACCAGAAGTGATCAGTTGCTTCGTATTATTTTAAATTTCACTAGATGCGAAGAATAAGTTTTATATTAATTTTTACATTTTTGTGTTTTTGTCTTGTGACCACAGTAAGGATTAATGACAGGCAATAATTTGCTTTATTACGCAGATAATTTTTAAGGGTAAGCAGTTAGTTATAAATAATTAAATTAAGTAGTTAGATAACCTAACTCATTATAGATTTACATGGCCACTATTAAATTTATCTTTTAAAAATATTTGTTAAAAAGGCAATGTTAAAATCACAATCTATTAACATGCCACAGTTTAAAATATATGTAATTTATGACATTGATTCTTAAACGATACTGGCCCACCAGTGGCCGAGCAGTAAAGTAGCTAAACACTGGTAGTTCAGTCCGAGGTTCGAAACCCACGAACGGGCCGTCTGCATGGGCGTTTTCATGGTTTTCCCCATGTGTAACTTGTATACGAGGCAGTTTTCCTTAGAAAGTCCTCCACGAAGGCATTTCTCTCCTTAGGCAGATAGCCCTCGAGGCTTTGCCACAAACACTTAGTCTTAAACAATACTAGAATAATTACACATTAAAAGCTACAAAACATGTGTAGCAACAGTACTCAACAAAATATTTATGCGTCTTTTTAATTTGAAGCCTTTGCAGACATTCTGGCTAATTTATATCAATTTCCTTCTCTTTAACCCTTTGATGGTTATGAACGAGTTCAGCTCGCAATCGAATCGTGCTTCATAATGCACGCAAACAAGTTCCGCTCGGGAGCAAGATTTTGACCGAAATGGTTAGTAACGAGCACTACTCGCATAGTGAAATTTTTTCCCAATAAGCGCTGACGAGCTGACTTCGTTCGCCATTTTTATTCTGCACTGATTGTGTTTCAAAGTAATGCTACTCGCGAAATTTAGTTAGTTTTACTGTCTACAGATGGCAGTACGAGTTCCATGAATTTCTTTGCATAATGAAGGTGGATTTTTTTTTGACCTTGTTCATTTTATACGTATTATTTTGGCGCGGTTTTTTTTTTTTTTAGGGTGTTTGTACAGTAAAATGGCTCAAAAGCGAAAGTTTTTAGATAGGTATGATGATGATGATTATGATTGTGATACAGAAAGCTTATCAAGTTTTGAATCTGATGAAGACTTTGTTCACAGTATTTCAAGCTCAGAAGACGATTCAACAAGCGATGAGGAAGATTTTTCGAGTGTTCGACAGTGGTGTATAATTGATTCAAGTTCTCACGCTCCTAGCCAATTTAGTTTCACTGGTGATGTAGGCATGAAAGCTTGCGTGACAAATATTTCTGAAATTCTTTATTAGAAAGAACCTACTAGACGATGTGTGGTATGTTGCAGCAAAAATGATGCTAATGGAAAAAGAATTCGCCGTGAAACACGTACGTATTGGAAAGACTGTAATGCCCCATTATGTGCAATTCCATGTTTTAAAGTATATCACACACAAAAAGATTTTTAGGTAATTACTGTATTTATACTGTGCTTCATAAAGTTTTACATTAGTTGTATTTATTTTAGTCCTTTCAATTTAATATTTGTCTTATATTTATAAATTAACTATTATTATTTATATAATTGGTTATAATCATTTATAATTTACTGTTTAATAATTATTTTTAAAGTACGTAAAAACTGTTATTTATGTACTACAAATACTTTAAGAAAATTTTTAAAACGCGCGAGGCGAGCTATCTACGGCATCGCCAGAGAAAGGTGACATTTTCGGAAGAACGGCGGGAGAAAACAGCTGCCACTTTCGACTACTGTTTACTCCTAATGCTGCGCGAATTAAGTAAATGGAAACTGCTCATTTCCATAACTGTCAAAGGGTTAATCATCTTTTCTAACAATTAGAAATTTGTTTACAATATGCAAATCAGTGTTCTCACTAGTTTCTGCATGCTTTATCTCCTAATTAATTAGTCTATCCACAATGTACCTATGAGGGTTTATTTGTTCTGATAAAAGTTAAATAGTCCAAAATCCCAGACAGATGTGCAAATTATCGCTCTGTGTTAAAGCAACTACAAAGGTTTAAATAAGCATCTTATTTAAAAAGGACTTACAACATAAAGGCATGTTCTGATGCTAACAAAATCAATTACAATTACAATTAAACAAGAAGCGTCAAATTCAAACTAAAAATGTAGACTTGGTGATCAAATATTAATACAACTTATAATAAGTGGAAATTTAGGGCTGTGCTCAGTTAACCACAATGCTTCATTAACAAATTCAAATGGTCAGAAGCGATAATGCAAAGAGCGAATAACTACAGATTATCAGAACTGACAGGAACTAAATGCAGCGAGTATGTGGAGGATCAGAATCACACTTTGTCTTGCACTCCAAATACGCCTCAGTTTAAAAAACTATCTAAGTGATTTGCATTCTGGTGAGAAAACGGAAATAGGAAATTACAGTAAAGGCTGAAATTACAAACAACTGGGTAATTTACATAATAATAACTGTACATACTAATAGCAGTACATATATTTGAAGAATCTTTCTCCAGCACGTTTCCTTTTCATTTTAGAATTTAAAGATTTCTATTACTCTAAAAACACTAAATTTAGAAAGCATATAAAAAGCTGCTAATTTTATTTCTTTAGTAATATGAACATTCAGAAGCAATATGAAATATATATGGTAAGGGCTGGTTACAGAGACGGTGTGGCAGAATTTTTAGAATTAAGTGATACACCAAGAAACAAAATCTAGAAATGGCAAAACCTTTATAATTTAGAGGAGGCACTGGAAGCAGAATTTAGAAAGGCAATAGGCAGCAGAATTTAGGATCTGCAGAGATTGCATCAGGTGAGAAAATGCCCAGCCCTGTGTATGATGCATTCAGACATATAATATGAATCATTTAAATTGTCAGTTTTCAATTTCTTTAATAAAAAAAAATTCTTTCTATAATGCCTGTCCTTCTGATAAAAATAAAAGCATTTCTGATATTTTCCATGCCTGTGTCTAGTGAAAATTAGAGAAAGTAAAGGGAAGATAAACGTGTTAAGAAAAAGATTCTAGTATCAGAAGTAAAGCATTCAAATATTATGTTTTCTTTGTTCTTCCAGACATTCTCCAAAAAGTAAGAAATTCATTGCAAACTTTCTGTAAAATACATCCATTATGTGATGATACCATGGAGATATTTTTCATTTTGCCACATATTTCTCGAATCTTCTACAATCGCGGGTCTATAAATCTTGCCTTAAAATTCTTAAGTAAGTAAGTATTAGTAAGAAATACACCGTAAACTTTCTTCAAAATACATTTGTTACGTGTTAATAGCATGGAGATATTTTTCTGTAATTTTCTAGAATCTATGAATTATGCCTTCAAATCCTTCAAACTTTCTAAGCTGCAATGTCTGAAATCCTAAAGAAAAATTTTGTAACAGTTTTTACTGTTACAAAATTTTTTGAGAGAAATATTTTGAGAAAAAATATCAAAAGGAAAAGGTGTAAAATTAATTTTATAGAGAAAACTGAATATTCTGAGAATTCTGAATACTCTGAGACAATTCCATGGGAAAAACTCTTACCATGAAAAAATTTAAAAAGACATTTTAAATTACGAGGGCCATCCAGGAAGTAGATTACGTTTCCGTCTGTGTCCGCTAGGGGCGGGGCTAGCGCGGCCATCTTGGGGTCAGAGCGTTGCGCAGCTCAGTCTGCATCTAGCCGTGCTAGTGAGAGGTTCGTGCTGTGCTCCGTTCAGATACTGTGACGGTTTGAAATGTCTGCGTTAATTGAAAATCCCACGAGGTGCGCTCAGTAATAAGGTTTCTGACTGCAAAAAACTGTAAACCGATAGAAATCTGTCGGCAGCTTCGTGAAGTGTATGGGGACAACATTATCACTGAAGGTGGAGTGCGTCAGTGGGTCATAAGATTTCAAAATGGCCGAACCAATGTTCACGACGAAGATCGAAGTGGGAGACCCAGCATAGTGACCGCCGAACTTCTCGAAAAAGTCGATGCTAAAGTCCGTGAAAATCGAAATTTCACAATAATGGAACTTTCTTTGAGTTTTTCCACAAATTTCGCGAAGTTTGTTTGCACGAAATCATCAGCGAAAAGCTTGGTTACCACAAGTTTTGTGCAAGATGGAAGGCAAGAAGAGGTAACGAAGTGGTTGAAGGCGCAGGCGGCCGAATTTTTCGACGAAGGAATTTCCAAGCTCCTACATCGCTACGATAGATGCCTTAATTTGTATGGTGACTATGTAGAAAAGTAGTATTTGAGTGTGGCTTTCATCTGTATATAATAAAATTTGTTTCCTATACTTTGTTTATTTTTTTATTCCAAAACGTAATCTACTTTCTGGATAGCCCTCGTATTTACATAGCTATTTTGCTTTTGCTAAAACTGTTTCGTTAATTGTGCTTTAGAGTATTATACCTTGCTTATTTTGCAGATTCAAAATATTGTATAATAAATGGCCAAAATGGAACTTTACAATATGACAGCAAAAATTAAAAACGTTTTATTTTAATGTTATTTTTTAAACATAATTTCAATATCTTACCACTATTTTAATGAAAATTATCCATCGAAAAATTCTCAGATTTCGAAATTAAAACTTTTCTACAGAAACTGATCTTAAAATCGCCAAAATGCTGATAAGTCGCCGAATTCAGAGCCGTTTAATAAAAGAATTCACGTCCCGAAAAGCCAAAAGTTGTTTAAGAGCTCTTCATTAGAAAAAAATGAAATCATTTTGAAATACTTATGCTGCACTTCTTTTACTATAAAACTCGAAAATCAAACGATTTATATTAGAAATAGGAACGAATTATAACCCATTCAAAAGATAATATCTGTCAGTTGAATCACCGAAAAATATTCTTCCAAAATGTTAATTCACATTCAAAATAGCAGACGTAGAAAGAAAGAAAGAAAGGGAAAAAAAAAAAAAAAAAAAAAAAACAGAAATTTCAGATGATTAAAATTAAGGACCTTCTACTGATTTCGGCCGAAATTAAGGACTTTTAAGGACCAAAAATCAATTCCAAAAAACTTAAGGACTTTTAAGGACTCTTAAGGACCGTAAGAACCCTGGATAAGTTCAATGTAATAAGAAGTTATAATGAATGTTTTCATTCGTTTATTATTCATACTGTACAAAGTTATTTTCTCATACCTTATAGGTGTTAATGCAATTTATTTATAACAGTAATTGCAGAAAACGATACTTGTCAGAAACGTATCTTGGAAGTCTATAGATATATCAAGGAACTGGCATTATATCTGCGAGATCTCTATGTGTTCTGTAGAATCATGCAAATTCATTCATAGCTCTAATAGAAATGGAGTTAGAAACATTTAATGAAAGTTCACACAGATACTGAGAAACTGGTGTCGTATTTCTGAGTGCTCTTTGGAAACACACGTCTTAAAAGCATCGGCATCTCTGATTTTTTGGTTTCACTTACAGTATTCAGTTAAAATCCTTATAGGATAAGCCACATGTTTACACTCAAAGTTTTAAGTAAAAAATATATCACTCAAAATTTATCTTCAGTTTTAGCATAATTTATTTCTCTAGCAATGGACTATCACATTTTTTATCAAAGACTTCATAAAATAAATTATTTGGTGCAATGCAGTTAACTAGGACTAATGCAGTTAACTAAAATAATCTGAAAAATTTTAAGCATTTGCAAAATTAACATGTTGACTGCATGCATTTGAGGTTTGCCTGTGGCACCAACATGAATTTTTTATTACATGATGTATATTATGTTGAAATATCATCTACAGCAGATAAGGTGAGTTATATAATTGTGTTAAACACATTTTTCGTAGGGAAAAGGTTACAAGTGACCCCCGAGGTGCTGTAGACTTGGTATTAGCAATTGTTTTAAATTGTTGTGCTTCAGTTGCTAAGCAACTACTCTGATTTATCAGCTTTATCCAGTGCATTTGTTAGACTCTGCCACTTTACACAAGTTTTTAATTAGCTCTTACAAATATGGCTTATTATTATTATATGTTATATTATTGGTCAAGTTCTTTATCCGACAATGCAGTTTTACAAAGACCCTCCAAGAGACATCGAAAGCTATCAGATGAGGAGGAAAGTTCTTCTAGTAGTCAAACATGATGAGTCCTTCCAGAGTGCAATGGCACTGAATTAAGTCAGACAGCGAAACTGAAGTTGAAGATGGCATACATGAAGAGCTTCGTGCCAAAATGCATAATCTTTTGGGAAATCAAGCCAAGATCACATTTTTGAATTCGAAAGGAATCAATACGTGCCAAATGGAGATTTTTGCTTGAACAGAACCGCATAGTTTTTATTTTCTATTTGTCATAGATGAAATAATCCAAATGATCACAAATGAAACAAACATGCATGTGCTTTGCAAAAATATCAGAACAGCAATTGTATCATCTAGATCAGTCACACAGAACAAATTCTAATAAAATAAAACATTTCTTTGGTCTCATTATATGGATGTGACTGGTGCAATTGCCAAAAATCAATCTATGCTGGAGTAATAATGAAGGATATAATTTATTCTTTCTTCGTACAGTCATGTCAAGAAATCGATTCGAATTACTTTTGAGGTTTCATTTTAATAATAATGAAAAAAATCTAAACAATAATTTAAAGAAATTTTATAATCTACATGAATTATTGCACATGGATATGTCATTAGTGCCATTTTGAGACCACACAGTATTTCGCCAATATGTAAAACAAGAACGTCACAGATATGGTATCAAAAATTTTAAATTATGTAGTGGGCCATGATACACTCATTCATTTCAAGTCTACATGGACAAAGACAAAAATACAAATCAAATATCTGGAAACAAATCGTTTGAAATTGTATTATCGCTTGGTAAAGATATTTTAAGCAAAGGTCATACTGTCTGCACAAATAATTATTACACAAGTGTAGACCTTTTTGGAAAATTCATTACAAGCCAATGCATTTTGTGGGTATGCTGTGAAAAAAGCGGCGAGGCAATCCAAAAGAAGTAGTGTCCAAAAAATTAAAACATGGAGATCTTATCACACGAGAAAATAAAAATGGTAGAAGTCTTAAATTAGAAAAAATAAAAGGGATGTGTTAATGCTATCTACAAATCATTCCACAGAAAAGACCTTGTTTATATGAAATTTGGCATTACTTTCTTCAAACAATTATAATAACAATGGCATTATTTAAAAATTTATCAGTAACAATATTTACTCTATGTATTTTTACTATTGGTTGCATTGCCAGTGAACCACACAGCACTGTAGATAAGTTGAGTTCCGGCCACCAGAGGAGCCTCCCATGACAGTCAATGTGTTAAATATAAGGAACATTAACAAAATAATCTCCATTCTGTTGCATAAGTACTCATCTAACTTAATAGCTTTGAAAACGAGAAATGGCAATTTTCTGAAATTTTAAAGTTAATGCACGCTGAAAACCAAAGCCAATTAGATATTCTTTAATCACTGCAAATTAACAAAATCTAGAATAAAAGTTACCTGCTAGTAGAATCAAAGGCTGCTTTCAAAAGCTCAAAATTTTCTTTCTTTTCAATCCATCTTTTTATATTCCTAAACAGAAGCAAAAAGTGAGAATTATTGAAAAATATTTGAATTTAAGTACTCTGAGAAAAATAAAGACCAAGAAATTTTGCTTGGAAAAACTGTACATTAATTTCAAATACACTGCTTAAAATAGTAATCGTGACTTGGTCTTCAAAAAGAATAAATGTCAAACCAACCTTATTGTTCACTGTACTACCAACTCAAACAATATGAAAACATTTTTAAATAGTCTTTTCATAATCACATAAATTTATGGGCTCTAAAAACAGCCAGAAGGGGGATATCTAGCTGCTTTAGAGTTAGATTAAAAACTGATATTACAAATAATTGGCAGGACAACCAAGAACATTTCTCACTGTTAATTAAAATCCTTAATTAGCCCTTTACAGTTTCTAATTTAACTCTATTGGGAATATAATTTATTCTAATAATAAACTACAGTTTACGTAATCATCTATCAAATTTATATGAAACTGCGAATCTATTAAAAAATTGCTTATGTTAGGGAAAAAAAAAAAAAAAAATTTGCTAAAACAGATCCCGCTTTATTGCATAAACTCGACTGTTAATTGGAAATGTATGCAGCAAGTAACCATATACTATATAGAAGCAGCTTCTAACACACACACAATCCCCCCCTCCGATTTCCAATCAAAGTTTAGTTTATTATGGCAAAGCACACTGCCTTCGTTGAGGATTTTATAAGGGCAACTGGCTTGTATATATTGAACCCAGGTCAGAAACTATCAGTACTTACAGATTTTACAGCGTGGCCAGTAGTGGGCTCAATTTCAGACAAAAAAAAAAAAAAAAAAAAAAAAAAAAAAAAAAAAAAAAAAAAAAAAAAAATGCCACAGTAAAATTTTAATGTGGAGCCAAATCATAACAAAAATAATTTCGATTATTCTTATATGCTCCCTGTATAAACAATATGCAAACTGCATCAAGGAATAAATTACAAATGACATACCCAGCTTCAGCTTCTGATGGCAATCTTATAACTGGTCCCCGAGTCATGCCATCTGCAAGTAATTGGCTATTGACACCTCCTGATAGCTGAAATGTAAACAATATCTTAATAAAAAAACATTTTTCAATAGATTTGAAAATATGCCAAATATTTTGGGTTAATATAGTCAATGCTGTGATAGGAAAAACCTCCCTCCCAAAGACTACTTGCAAGAACTATGCTCCTAAATAGGGCTTAACTTCTGAAATTAGACATACTGGAACCTTAAGTAAAGGCAATCAGAAAGAGTAAAAATAAATAAATTAAGAATGTAATTAAAAGAGTATTACATTAAACTAATGCATCTTAAAAACAAAATAAAATAAGAAAAATTGAACGATAACATGGAAAAGTACACTGAGAATATAAGAAAAATTCTGAATATTTTTTGTTCTCAAATAAAACTGTTTCCTTATTTTAGCTCCCAATTCAGCTCAACTTCCTTGGTCAGATGGCTACCATCCATATTCCTTTTCCTTGAAAGAGATAGCATTTCGCTATGTGGTGATCCTTCAGGTGCTGAAGCTTTACTGTGTATTTTGTTCTTCTGAGGGAAAGTGAGGCATAACTTCAAAAGATACATCAATTTCTTAAATTGCTAAAAAGAGTGTTGAGTTAATAATACAATTTCCAGGCTATACTGCAACTTAGAATGCCGTACTGAAACTCATTTTACTTGAGCTTCAGACTATTCCACTTGGAATTATCATACTATTCGAAAACTGAGATAGGTTACAGCTGAATTTAAGCTCTCCAAAAGTAACAATTTTTATACCAACATGAATTACATCAAATGACAAATAACTCACTGCTAGAGCTCGACATCCACGATTAGTACTTGCAACTAAACAGCCTTCTGTTGTTGCCATGGGGATGTACAGCATCTCGCCATCCAGTGACAATGGACCAGCAACTCCGACGGGTACAGGAACGTAACCAATGACATTTTCACAACAAGAACCCATTACCTACAAGTATAAAAAAAGTTTATGACATTCAAATACAAACATTTTAAAAGAATATCCATTATCACATGTTTTACACACATATCCATATATTTCCAAATAAAAACTGAACAGTATTTCTGCTGCAAAAATTCAAACCAAACTAAAAAAAAAAAAAAAAAAAAAAAAAATGTATAAGCCAAATTTAAAATCTCCCTATAAGTCCAGCTATATATATTTAAAAATGTTCAAATAATGCAAACAATCAGTGTATAAGTCAAGAGAGATGATTTTGGTACAATACATTTTCTTTGGTGAACTCTTCCGTCCGTTCAACATGCAATGCGCAAAAGAAGCTGGAAACTTGTTTTGCCTTTCTGAAAGACAGTCTGATTGGCGCTTCAAAAATTGGCTCTACACCAGCTGCCCGAACAACGCGCACGATACATAATTCGCCGAGAAAGTGATCGCTTCCAACATTACCGCAAAAATAGCTTTTTTGGGAATCGCTGTTTGAAATTCCCTGATGTTTCCAGATTTTGACTAAAATATTTAAATTCATTGACTTTTACCTGACCTTTCCCGGTAACGTGACAACTACAAAATAAATATTTTCAAGCTATAACAAATTGAATTTTTGCGAAAGAAGTACACAAAATTAAATACAAATATTACTTGATTAAACACTGCTTGAATGAATCCTCATATACGAGGGTTGAAACTTTAATAATGGCAACACAGCTGAAAAAACACTACGCAACAAAACCAAAGAATATCGCGTATACCACACGTGAACTACATACCTACCTTACCTCTCAGCAAAAAGACTCGTCCTGCCTACGTCACGCGCATGCGGAGTGACGCGAAGAACGAATCCTTGTATTAGCTAGCGGTCTAAAGTAAGTGTTGTCAAGATGTTTTCAAAACAAGAACAATGATGTTGAATAAAAATTGAATGTGCCAGAGGTCGTATAGCACGACAGTGTCATCAAGGGCTTCAAGAGGCTTGCGGGGAATCTTCAATGCCTTACAGAACCGTAGCAAGATGGGTGAAAGCATTCAATGAAGGACGCCAAAACGTGTCAGACATGCTGCGGCAAGGTCATCCGAGTGTCAGCGATGCAGACGTGAAAGCTGTTGCCGCACTAACGGACAGTGATCGCTGCCAAAGGATTCGTCAGCTGGCCAGACAAACAGGATTAGCGCGTACGACTGTGCTGCACATTCTGAAGGAATGCCTGTCCATAAGAAAAATTGCTTCACAATGGGTTCCACATCAATTGACGGAAATCCAGAAATGGCTACGATACGATGCTGCCCGAACCCACCTGGAGCGCTATGAGTGCGAAGGAGACGCTTTTTTGCGCCGTATCATTACGCTGGATGAGACTTGGGCCCCATCGTACCACCCAGAACTGAAACACCAATCAAATGAATGGCGTCATCACGGGTCACCACGATGTTCGAAATTTCGTCAGAACCCCAGCAATGTGAAAGTTATGGTGATTCTCGTGTACGACTGTGATGGTGTCATCCTAACGCATACCATTCCCCGACAGCAGACCGTCACTGCGCACTGTCATTTTTGCAGCTCTTTTTGCACAATCTCCGACCAGCTTTGAGAAAAAAATGGCGACACTTTCTGCAGAACGCTTCTCTCATTTTGCATGACAATGCTCGGCCGCATGCAGCGCAAGCTGTGACTGATTTGTTCAAGCGATGGGGCTGGGAAGTGCTTTACCATACTCCCCAGATCTAAGCCCTTGTGACTATGACTTAATTCCTAAGATGAAGGAACCACTTTGTGGCACTCGCTTCCAAACTGTTCCTGACATACTTGCGGCAGTAGACCGGTCCATTCAAACTATCAACAAAACAGGCGCTGCTACAGGTATTGTGCGACTTCCACATCGTTGGAAACGGATTGTACACAATGCTGGCGACTATATTGAAGGGCTGTAAAACATGGTGACATGAATCACTTTTGTATTCCTTGTAAATAAACAGTTGCCACTATTAAAGTTCCAACCCTCGTAAAAATTTCCAAATGTATACAGTAAATTAATACAACTTAAATCATATGAAACTTAATGAGAACATTTACAAAGGTCAAGAAAAAAATTCATATGAAATAAAATTTAATAGGAAAAATTATGCTGAAAATCATTACAGATGGAAAAATTTTGCCTAACTTAAGTTTTATTAATTCAATAAATTTCATTTATTATTGAAAACATTTTCCTAAAAAACCAGGAGATTTGGTGATTACAGGGAGATGTGATGAAAAACTGGGATAGCTGGCAGCTATGTAATACTACTGCAAATATTATACAGATACCTATCATTTTCAAACTGCATGCATAAGAATAAGATGTTACATAAAACATAATCTATAATACTAATTTACAGAACCTTTAAAGATCTAGAAATATGAAATAAAGTAATTTTATTTTTTTCTGGTTATTAGCACCCTCTTGAAACGCATTCACAAGACAATACCTCTTGAAACGTATTAACAAGACAATATGCTATATTGGTAAAATAAGCAACTCATGACGTCACCAAAATGTATTTATGTGGCACTCCAGGTATGCATGCACAAGCAGTAGATGACCACATGGCAAATTTCCATTCTCAAATTCAATGGTGATTAATATTTCTATTGAATAAGTGCAATTTTTTTTTTTTTTTTCCTTGAAAGCAATCGTAAAGACCATGAAGTTCACTAGTTGATGAAAAGCAAATCATTGCATTCTTCAAAAATGGCACTTTGCCCAACAGACAATGCAAAAATTTGCATCCCATGAAGTTGCACTTTACAAATGAGCAAATTTTGTGCACTATGCCAAATCTGTGCAATTCCCCAATGTTCAGTTAAGCAAAAACAGATTGCTATGTACATGTGGAAAAACAAATGTGTGCACTATTCCAAATGTATGCAATTCTGAAAAGCAAAGCCAGGTTGTTAAGATAGGCAGAACAACAGCACCTCCCCCAAAAAAATCTATACAAGTACCATACTATACTTTTTTTTTTTTTTTTTAAATTTTAATTTGCACCTACAAAAATTTTATAAAAATTTCCGCCATCACTTGCTTTAAATATATATTAGTAAAGATAATACAGAAACTTCCAGATCTGAAATGCTTTGAATGCTTCTGGAATTATTTGGCAAAAAAGAGGCCTACAATTTTTAAGAAGAGACAGTAATTATTTGTAAACTAAAATTATTTATAAGAATTTCTTTACAGAAGTAACAATTTTGTTAAAGACGTCTCCCCTTACACAATTTAATGGTTCATTGCTCTTTTATGGAATTCTTAAAGTGCTGCTATTGCTACTATTTTCAAAATCACTACTGCCTTTTGCATAGTATCTTGGCAAAAAATTAGTTGCCAACTTTTTGGAAAGGATGTGGATAATCAGAAAGATTTTATTTTCATTTAATCCTGCTTTTAAGTAGACAATTACCATAAATAAAATACTGTAAAATTAGAGATTATTACATATTTTGTAACCAATAAAATATGACTTACCAATTTATAATCATAATCTGCATATGGTAAAGATTCTAATATTTCACCTCGTTTTGCAAGTTTACTGAGCAGCTTGCGTCGTATAGAAACACCTTTTTTCGGATTATTGACAATAGTTTCCAGTTTATGGGACTGTATAATTCTCTTCTCTGCTAACAAAATTATTTCATCTTCAGTCAGACCTATTCCACCAACCTGCAATACAAGGTACAAAAAAACTCCTTTACAGATTAAATGAAAAGTACAGAGCTTATTTTATTTTGATTTTAACACTTTTCTCACACAGTTCTCTGATATATCAAGTTACTACAAGGGACAATAACACAGTTACCTCAAAATTAATTTAAATCTGAGAACAGTTAAAAACACACGAGAAAAAGGAATAACTTGCATCATGATTAACAGAGATATAATAATTTACCTATATTTTAAGAGTTTAGTCTCGAGAATAAGTTTATTACGATACAAAACCCATATTCAAGATGAAAACAACATTAGAAATAACAGAAGAATACACATTCATCAGAAGTGAAGAAACTAAATTACAAATTGCATTAAAGAACAATACTTACATGCCAATTTTAATTCTGCCATTTGAGTTAATATCCATATAAAAAAGTCAATTATAACTTTTGGTTTCATATTGCACAATGTTTATGTATTGTTGCGAAATGTCCAGGCGTAGTAAGCTTTACTCAAGCAGGTTTAGGGTTGGCATAAAATGGCAAGGGAAGGCAGGTTTGCCACATTTGGCAATATGCCATGCCATAAGTGGATAGAGAACCTTCTGGAACGAATTCTTACTGCTTTAGCCCAGAATGTTCTCGAACACAAACCAAAAGCTATATAAAACCCTGCTGGTACGCGGAAAGTCAGTCAATTAGTCCGAGCGGAGTCCATCGAGTTGATAGTCAGTCAGTGAGTGCCTAGTGCCAAGTTGGTCGTCGAGTGCATCCAGAGAGTCTCTTAGAGTATTGCGAGTTAGTGAATCATCAAGTTTGATCTTAGAGTGCGTTCAGCTCCGGGAACGACTGAACCGAGGAGTTGGGAGCTCTAGTGTATCGTTGGGTGCATCGTGAGTTGTAGCATGGAGAGTCTCGAGAGTACGTGGAGTTCCGAGAACGACCGAGGAGAGTCTGAAGCTGTACTCTGGTGCTTTGCAGTGAAGCTGTATCCACCATCATAGCCAGATAACTTAAAAGCTGTATATCTGATTGCTTCAGTGTGTTTATAGTAGATCTTCAATGACTGTAAACGTGATTTTGGAGTTTTCTTGAAGAATATTGGCCAATAACGTGCTTTGATACTCCATCAAGTGTTGTTATTGGTATAAACTCCAAATCCACACGGACCCATACTTACGAACATATGTGAAGAGAAGAACGTAACAATATCTTAAATTACAGACAAATATGGATTAAAAAAACTCCCAAATATTATGACATCCAATATCACTGCTGTTAACCTAAGCCCTTTTCTTTTCCTTTTTGCATTTTCTGCAGACAGAGTTTTTTTTATGCTGATCATTTGGGAAAGTAATTTTTCTGCTGCTCTGAAATATATATATATATATATATATATATATTATTAAGAAGACAGCATTCATTTAATTAGTTGACTGCAATTCTACATAGTTTTAATCTAACAAAAACTTTCAAATTCTTAAAATTATAAAGGATTACAAAAGAGGTAAAAACGTGAACAACTGAGAAATTAACCCTTTTCAGGCAAGAGATACAGTTTCACTTTTGTACACAGATAGAGATCACTACACACAACTTCATCTCTTATGCATAATAGTATTTTGTCTCTGGCTTTATTTGTAGGAAAAAAAAAAAAAAAAGAGAGAGAGAAGAAGAAAATGTAATTTTGTAATGTTAAATAATTCTTCTCTTTCTTTATAATTTAAAAGCACCTTCGCTATTGGAACTATTCCCAAAACTATGTAACTGTCTTATCTATTATTGGTGTTTGCAGTTCCCTCCCCCCTTTAAAAAAATATCTGATTTTTGGAAATAAAATTTCTGCTCACAGTAGATAAGATTTTTTTTTTTTTTTTTTTTTTTTTTTTTTTTTTGATAATCTATTCTGATGCCTAACATATTGTATACCACAAGTTAAAAAATATTTCTGCAAGCAATCACATACCAATGAAGCATTAAATTTAAGAAAAAAAAGGGGGGACGAAACATCACCTGTTCCAAATAAAGTCTAAATTACAGCAGTTTGGTGGGAAGAATGGAGCACTGTTCACATTTCAGGAACAAGTTTTCACTGGAGGCTCAAAAAGTGATACTTCATTCTCAACAAATAAAGGGATTTTTTTAGCCATATTTTCAATCTCAGTAACATACCTAACATATTATACTATTTTAGACAAAAAACATATTCCCTCAAATAAATACAAAAAAGAGGAATATAAAATGAATAAAAAGTTAAAAATTACCCAAGAAAAATAGCATCTGCTGTAAACATATCTAAACTATAAGAAACACATACGAAGGTTCTAAAGTAAAATCTTATTGCCACACATACACGGCAGCCATTTGCGAAGGGTTTTCATTAAATTTGAATTATATAAAATATAAATAAAAATTTAGGATTAAATTCACTGGAAAAAAATTTCACTGTTTAGACTTATATTTACATTACTTTTAGAGCCATTCAATTCCTTCAACATGCTTCTAATTCTTAGTACATTCGTACACTTCCAGATGCTCTTATATAATTTTACTGCTAAAATAGTCCTTCACTATAATAAAAAACTCTTAAAAAGATTGCCAGCCCACAACCAAAAACATTTTCATTTTAAGAAATTGAAAACCAATTTGGAAATAATAAATCTAGTGAAAAGTGAGATGATTAACAGGCGTTGCTCATTTTTTACTTCTGCTTCCAAAAAATACATAATATCTCTACAGTGGCGCCTGAACTAAAAGGGTGGTGGATGTTGATTCTCCTCACCCAGGATTTGGTGACTGGGTCCCCTAACAACCCCCAGATGCCCTTTAAAAGGGATGTATATAAGGTATTTCTCCCGCCTTCTTGGTGTGGTGATCTGCATGCTGGATGCGTATTCCAGTAGCTCGTGGTTCGATTCCCGGCGAAGGCGTTGCTAATTTTTCATCTTGCCTGTTTCAAAAAAAAAAAAAAAAAAAAAAAAAAAAAAAAAAAAAAAAAAACTAATGTCTCTACAACATAACTCAAAAACTATAATAAAACTCGTCTTGTTCAAACTTCAGAATGAAGATAGGGAAAACCAAAATGTTTGGCTTTAATATTATTTTCCTTAAAAATAAAAGATACACAATGGTTACATTAATGATACTGTAATGATGTCATCATATTTGCTACCACAAATTAGCAAATCTATTGAATCAAAATTTTCTGTATGTAAATTGCCTTAAAATCTCCAAAATACTGAAAAACAGCCAAATTTGCCAACACACAGCATGAATTCATATTGCTGCCTTTCCAATTCCAAAAATTCATAGAAAATTAATTTTGTATGCAAGACTGTAAAACTAGGACAATTAAATGTAAAAATTATGAGAAATTCATAAAAATTGGTAGATACAGCTATTTTGGTGAAATTAGCCGAAAGACATAAAACATTGTACACATATTTCTGATCAGATAAAATCACCAAATTGACATAACTTTTGCTGCCTTTTCAAAAAATGCAAAATTCATAGAAAATTAATTTTGTAGGTAACACTGTAAAACTAGGACAATTAATGTAAAAATTATAAGAAATTCATAAAAATTGGCAGATATAGGTATTTTGGTGAAATTAGCTGAAAGACAAAAAACATTATACACATACTATATAATAATACCTCTGATTGTAGAATTTTCTTGCACTCCTCGATAGAACGTGGATTTATAAAATCTGTTCTTTGTAGTACTGCCCCATTATTTGTGGCTCCTGTCTGAACAAACTCATCAGTGATGTTTACTACATTTGCTTTTTCTCCAACTGTGAAAGATGCTGACTGCTTATCAGTCACACATGAAACTAGCAGGGATGATTGTACAAATGAAGGTATTACAGCTTGGTTACAAGATAAATCTAAAACAAAATATTTACAATATTAAAAATATAGATATTAAGAAAAAGTATAAGATATTTTCAACACTTGAGCAATATTTTTACTTACAAATTCAGCAATTATTATATGCAATAATCCATCAAAATTATTTTCAATTCACATACTCTATAAATACAAATATAACTTCAATTAGTAATTAAATAAAATTAATAGATGCAAATGCAATACACACAGTTAATCTTGATTCCAAGGACTGATTACCAAGGCATTGCATATCAGTCAAATTTGTTTACTGTGGAATAATGGAAAAAATATCGCATATTAGCTGCATAAAACAAAACCACATATAGAGGAAAAAAGTAAGTGGATTAACAGTAGTGACAGCATTATCTGCTGTGTACATGTCACTTATGTCAGCAATGAAGAGTTGTTTATAGCCACAGTGGTACAAAATTTAATTGTATGTCATCTGGAATACCTAAGCATTATAAGCAGATTTTTTAATGCAAGTTTGGCTTAATGATATTGCTCAAGTTAACTTGTAAATGCTGTTCTTTAGTACCATTTAAAACTTAATTTCTTCATTTCTAATGATGTTTGTTTTCCCGTTACTTAACAGTAGTACAGGGTTCGTACACATTTCTGCACATGGAAATTAAGTACTTTTAAGGACCATTAATGGGGAAAAAAAAAAAAAAAAAAAAGCACCTATGAGCAAATGGGAACTGAATAAGTGAAATCATAATCAGCAAGATTCATAACAAAAGACAAATGTTGTCACCTCTGCTGATTGTCCAGAGAAAGTGCTGATTCAAACAAACCTGAAAGGCCTGATGTAGGCACAGTTGGCAAGTGTTGAAATTTAGTCAGGCTCTGTTTGATGCAGTTAGTATCATAGCTTTATGTAGAGTTCCAGAGGTTGTAACCCAGTTAATATACTTTAAGATCCCAACATGTCATTAAAACACCAGAGTTGATAAGTTGTTTTGTATGTGAGGGTGACGTCTTATCACCAAACAGAGATCACACTCACGATTCAAAGTATCAGGTTTTATTCCTGAATTATAGAAGAAAAGATAAATGGAATGAGTATGTACAAATGGATTAAATATGTTTAGGAGAGTAATCACACTGGTTCCACTATGGAGATGTAAAAGTCACAGTTGACCACCTACGTGTGGTCACTTTAGATAAGTTCCAAGTCCGATCACCTACGCGCGACCAGTAAGCGTCTAGTTGTAGCTCCTTCGCGAGCATTGTTAGACCGCCTCTGTCGGACTTCTCGAACCAACTGAAGATCCTGGAACCTGGAGAGTTCCTACAGAGTAGTGATAGATAGCAACATCTGGTGCTTCGTTGAGGCACGATTCCCACATGCATTATTTTAAGTCTCACTAGATGCGAAGAATAAGTTTTACTTGAATTTTTACATTTTTGTGTTTTATCTTGTGACCACAGTGAGTATTAATGAAACGCAATAACTCTCTTTAATATGCAGAGATAATTTTTAAGGGTAGGCAGTTAATTATAAATAATTAAATTAGGTAATTAGATAACAGTCATTATGGATTTACATGGCCACTATTAAATTTTATTTTTTAACATGTTTAAAAAGCTCTATTAAAATCACAATCTAATAGAATTTCACAGTTTAAAATACATTTAATTTATGACATTGATTCTTAAACAATATTAGGATAATTACATATTAAAAGCTACAAAACATTTATGTTTTGTAACAACACTCAACAAAATATTTATCCGTAATTTTAATTTGATGCCTTCCCAAACATTTTGACTAGTTTATATCGATCTCCTTCTCTTTAAGCGTCTTTTCTAACAATGAGAGATTTGTCTCAATATGCAAACCAATGCTCTTGCTAGTTTCTGCATGCTTTATCTCCTAACTTATCAACCTCTCCACAATGTACCTATGAGGGTTTACTTCATTTGGTAAAAGTTCCCAAACAGTCCCAACCCCAGAAAAACGTGAAGTAAATTATCGCTATGTCTGAAAGTAACTACAATATCAGACAAAGGTTTAAATAAGCGTCTTATTTAAAAAGAACTTAGAACATAAAGGCATGTTCTGATGCTAACAAAATCAATTACAGCTCACAGTGACATAATTAAACAAGAGCAGTCAAAATTCAAACTCAAAATGTGGACTAGTGGTCAAAGATTATACAATTTAATTTCAATTTAATCTGGCACAGTAACTCTATCATTTGAGGAAATAGAAATGGGAAATTATAGTAAAGGCTGAAATCATAAACAATTGGGTAATTTACATAATAATAACTGCACATATCTTTGAAGAATAATTTCCTTTATGTATTCAGTTTCTTTCTTCAACAAGTTTCCTTTTCATTTTAGAATTTTTGGATTTAATTAAGGATTTCTGTTATTCTAAAAAATACTAAATGCATTTAGAATGTACAGAAAAAGTGGCTAATTTTATTTCTTTAGTAATATGAACATTTAGAAGCAATATGAAATATATATAGTAAAAGGCTGGTAACATGTCGCAGAATTTCTAGAATTTAGTGACACACCAAACAACAAAATCTAGAAATGGTAAAACTTTTAGAATTTAGAGCAGACATTGGAAGCAGAATTTAAAATGGCATTAGGCAGCAGAATTAAGGATCCACAGAGATTGCATCAGGTGGAAAATCCCTAGTGCCCGCTCTGTATATCATGCATTAAGACATATCAGATGAATCTTTTAAATTAAGTTTTCAATTTCCTTATTAATAAAAAAATCCCTTTCTATAATGCCTGTGCAAGTGATAAGATTAGAAGCATTTTTGATATTTTCCATGCTTGTGTCTAGTGAGAAGTAGAGAAAATAAAGGGAAGATAAACATGTTAAGAAAAAGATCCTAGTATCAGAAGTAAAACATTCAAATATTATATTTTCATTGTTCTCCCAGACATTCTCCAAAAAGTAAGAAATTCATTGCAAACTTTCTGTAAAATACATCCATTATGTGATGATACCATGGAGATATTTTTCATTTTGCCACATATTTCTCGAATCTTCTACAATCGCGGGTCTATAAATCTTGCCTTAAAAGTCTTCTAAACTTTCCAAGCTGCAATGTCTAAAATACTAAAAAAATATTATCCCTACCAATTCCGTAACAGCAAAAAGTCAGAAATATTTTGAAAAAAGAAAAAAGAGAGAAAAAGTGTAAAATTAATTTTATAGAGAAAACTGATGCATTTTCTGAGAGTTTTGAATATTCTGAGACAATTACATGGGAAAAACGCTTACTATAAAAAATTAGAAACAAGACATTTTTAATTAATTACAGAGCTAATTTTGCTTTTGCTAAGAGCTGTTTTGTAAATCATGCTTTATAGCATTATACCTTATTTTTCAGATTCAAAATATTGCATAATAAGTTGCCAAAATGAAACTTTATAATATGACAGAAAAAATAAAAATGTTTTATTTTAATGTTATTTTTAAAATATAATTTCATATGTTACCATTATTTTAATGAAATTTATCAATGTTTGTTTTAAAAAAATCGTAGCAAAATTTTCAGATCTCTGAATTAAAAATTTTCTATAGAAACTGATCTTAAAATCACCAAATTTAGAACCGTTTAATAAAAGAATTTACATCCCCAAAAGCGAAAACTTATTTAAGAGCTATTTATTATAAAAAATGAATTTCGAAATGCTTATGTTTCACTTCTTGCTTAGAAACTCGAGTTTTCCATCCTTAATATTAGAAATAGAAACAAATTATAACCCACGAACCCATTCAAAAGATAACCATATATGTCGGTGAAATGCCAAAAATATTCCTCCACAATGCTAATTCACACTCAAAATGGCAGTCATAAAAACAGACAGAAATTTCAGATGATTAAAATTAAGGACCTTCTGCTGATTTTGGCCAAAATTAGGACTTTTAAGGGCCAAAAATTGATTCCAAAAATTTTAAGGACTGTACGAACCCTGCAGTACATTCTTTCTTTCTATCTTAATACTGATTCTTCAGATTACACAAACAAAATGACATTCTTCAGATTACACAGCTTGAAAATAGATGTAAACTGGTCAAATAAGGATTTGGCCTTAACCCTTTCAGGACGGGCATCCCATATATGCATTTCCTAAGAACGTCTCTTACAGCCGGGCATCCCATCCATGCATCACTAGAGATTGCATTGAGAGGACGGGTGATGCGTATACGCATTTTAAGCTGGAACGTTTTCTGAAGGCCACTAGATGGCATCCTATGTCCATTACTTTTGAAATGAACACAGTTTTAGGTTCCTGACCTTGAGTTTGATATATTCGGCTTGACTTTCATATTTTACTCATCAGCTCTTGCGAGGGTGGGGAGGGAAAGCGTAAACAGAGGTGAGCTCTTTAAATTGCTGCGTGCTAATAAAAACATTCATGCGTCTGATTTATATCCAATTCCTTTTTTTTATTCTATTTTTTCCCTTTACTATGGACGATCTTTTATAGTACTGTTATGTTTTGCATTGCCTTCAGATATATTTCCATTTCTTCTCTTTTTATTTTGGAAAGCCTCACCTCCAGTCTATTATGGCGGGAAGGCGCTATTTATCAGAGGGAAGAATACCCTTGTATGGTCCTTGAACCATTTACTAACACAGATGAGAGTGATGATTCATTTTCTAAAGAGTTAAAAAGTGATACTTTTTTTAGAAAGTGATACTTTTCCGTACTTCAAGATTCATCACACTCAGTCTTCATTTTAAATTTTGTTACTTCTTACTGTAAATAGTTTTTATTGTATTGTTTTATTAATTTAAAACTTTATTGATGGATTTCACCAATTAAAACTTTGGAATAATTTGAGTAGCGCTTCCGGAAATTATTTTAGGAGATAAGCAATTTTTTAAATATATTTTCATGTAAAATAAAGAAAAAACCATTATTAAGTGCTAATTTTAACATATATATAAGCTCAAGTAATAATCTAAAATGAAACCAAAAATTACGATGCCAGAAGTGAATTTTTTTTTTT